AGCAACACTATTATTATGTTGCGAATTAGGTCAAAATGAGTCAAAATATTACTACAAAATAGAACTTAGTTTAGTCATAAAATGTTTTTATAGTTAATTTAATAACTACTGGACAGTATAAATTGCTTTAGTTGTTGGTTTCTCATCAATTTCGGATCACAAAGTTATGGAGGCAAATGACCATTGCGATAATTACCAGCCGAGTATAAAAGGCCTAGGTCTAGGCTGCCGCTATATATATATATATATATATATATATTAACGGTCCCTATACTGTACCTTCCGTAGTTAGTTCATCAGGAGGAGTCAAAACATAATTGAGCCATTGAACAAAACCTAAAATTTAGCAAATTAAATAAGGTCATCTAATGCTTTATTTCAGCGTACATGTATATTTTCAATTAAACATTAGAAAGACTTAAGACCGTATTTTTAATTAAATATTAGAAAGACCAAAGTTTCGAAATGAACAGACGTATACAGATATACATAAACTAAAGCAACGGGTTAAACTGAACCAACGGTTGTAGGCTTAGCGCTTAGTTCGGCCCATGCAGGACTTTCAATATTTAGCGCATGCTTAAATCAGAAATAGTCCTCGCAATTTTCAGGATAAATCTTCGAATCAAAGGCAAAAAATTGCTGTCAATACAGTATTTCCAAGTTCGGCGGCAATTTTTTTTTGTTTCAAAATGACAATTTGAAGATGCATCAGCATAATAATGCAATCATGCGAAGGCGAACGAACTTTCTTGGCAAAATTTTCGTTGAACGTTTTCGTTTCATATTTTTTGTCTTGTTTCGAAAGAATAGTCATGGTGATGCATTGCAGTTTTAAAACAGCAAGTTCATTTACTCTTTATTGCCTCGGATACCGTAAAAATTTTCGTTGCCTGGCGTTTGCCATTTGCCGTATAACGCGAAGCTTAACTCTCTAATTTGCGATCCGTAAATCTGCCCGGGCGAATATACAGAATTTATCTGACGTAATTGTAATTGAATAATTGAAAAGTATTCCCATATACCTCTCTCCTGTTTCTCCATCCATTTTTCATCGTAGTACATATTCTTTGCGGCATAAGGTAACGGATGTCGCGGCAAACTTCGTTCAGTCGTCAAGTGTTTTGTCAGCCTTAGTCGTGAGGGAGCCACTCCTTTCGACGCAACTTTTGCTTTGAATTTCCGCGATGTGTTATGCTTCCCTGTTTATAATATGCCAGAATATAAATGAACTCAAAGACCTAACCGGGTGTAGCTGCGAAAAATGTAACTATTGGCCTTCTGGCAGGAATCGAATCTGTGACCCTGCGATTCCGGTGCAGTGCTCTAACCACCGTCCAGGGGTGGAAATTTTTTTTTTCTTTCTGGGAACCTGGGTCGAAGACTAGAAATTTTCTGTAAAATTTGTAATGTTACAATTACAAAAATAACAATACAAATGCATAATTATTGTATTATTTGTACTTTAGTAATAATGGGCTTCAGGCTGGTTTTCGTACGCTTGTACATCACAATAGTTGTCTGTTATATACCACAGTTATGAGTTATGACCAACTAGTAAGGATCTTGATTTTTTCTGTGTTGGTGTTATGTACCAAGGTGAATATGATGTTTGTGATGTTACTCTGAGTGTATATCCACACCGGGCAAACTTGAAAAATATGCCTGGCCACGATGGGAATTGAACCTACGACATTTAGATTACTAGCCCAATGTTCTGCCAACTGAGCTACGCGGTCAGGTCGGTTCGAGTAAGTGATATTTCTGAACTGAGTTTAGTTCCTTCGACATCAATGTAATCTAATATTCCAAAGGTCGTATAGGTTCGATTCCCACCGTGGCCAGGCATAGTTTTCAAGTTTGCCCGGTGTGGATACACACTCAGTAACATCACAAACATCATATTCACCTGAGAACACAACACCAACACAAAAAATCATGATTTTTAGATTACATTGATGTCGAAGGAACTAAACTCAGTTCCGAAATATCACATACTCGAACCGACCAGACCGCGTAGCTCAGCTGGCAGAGTATTGGGCTAGTATTCCAATGGTCGTAGGTTCGATTCCCACCGTGGCCAGGCATATTTTTCAAGCTTGCCTGGTGTGGATACACACTCAGAATAACATCACAGACATCATAGTAAGGATCTAACGCTTAACTAAGTGCCCTATCATCTTATTCATTCCATCACTTTTATTTGTTTACTATTTAATTTGCATTTTATTGGAGACTTTGCAGAGCATATATTTACCATTTTACCAGTCATTGTGATGGCAGGGGTGGGTAAAAGAATCAATTTCTGTCAAATATTTAAAAGCTGCTGATGTTAGCATGTACAATGTAAATAAAGTACAATAGTTGTAACTTGTAAGTTGAGTAAACAGAGTTATCTCAAAATGTTGAAATATTTTCTGGAAAATTTTCTGCAAAACTCTCAACTCAAGAAAATTTCTGGGAACTAGGTTCCCAGGTTCCGATACTTTTTCCACCCCTGGTTTTCTGTTTCCTCTAAAATTTCAGAGTTCTTGAAAAAATATACACGCGAAACGAGCGTGTCCTAGCTTATCTGTTTATCATTGTGATTATTCATGTGTTCATGGTGGTTGCTTGTTTAGTGAAATCACGTCATTATCTGGCACAATATTTGAAATTTGAACAGGTATGTTTATTTATGTAATATACTGTTTCATAAACGAACTAGGGGGATTTGTATAACTCACGGGCGTTCGTTGCGGGTCAGGGTTAATGTTAGAGTGTTATTAAGAGATTACGAAATATTCTTGACATCACCCACAACGAACGCTTCTGTGGTAGTCAAACCCAAACTATAGAGTCTACTGTGTACTTTAAAGAGAAGATTTTAGATCAGATTTGTTTCTAATGTTGATTACTGTGCATATTATAGTATCATGAAGATTTTGAATTTAAAAAACTGTTAATCAGTGCCATGGTGGCCATGTCGAAAGATCCCACCGCAATTCAGGTGAAGGTTTAATAATATGAATAATAGATGTGCACGGTATAGTTGGCATAATAAAGTTTTATAACTTTACAGATCATGGGTGGATTTACAGGGGGGGGGGGGTTAAAACCCCTCCTAGAATCTCTCTAACCCCTCTAATAAAGCGTTCAACCCCACCAAAATTTCGCTTCACCCCTCGTATTTTGTGTGAAAAGCTTTAACCCAAACGCCTAACCCCTGCCAAAACTCACTGAGTGGTGCCGCTTCCACTGACACCACCAGAAATTTTTCTTCCCCCCTTTTTAAATAAATGAAAATCCGCTCTTGTTACAGATAGGGCCTTTGAGAAAAGACTAGATATGGTGAAAACTAAGCTTTTTTTCTTTTTCTATTCTTCCTGGCATTTCTTTCCCCAAACCCCTGCCATTCCCCAAGGCAAACGATAATTATATACACACCTGGGTCAATCCTATAACATCGCTCTTACTATTGCTTTTATTTTGCTATCTAGATCATGTCATCTGCTCGTCTGCTGTTATCCTTGTTCTCTTACGTGAAAGCAAATGATACACTCTTACCAGATCTATGGACTCCATCCCAGTTTGAAGAACTTCAGTTACAGTGTTTATCAGCACTGTGTACCATTGCTCCTCTGTGTATTAATGATTATATGACATGTCAAGGAAACAATAGGTTGTTGTTATTACTGGACTGGTGCATTGGTCAAGGTCAGTTAAAGTATAGCTTATCTCTTCTCGTCTATATGCACAGACAGTAGAGTTTTCCAAGGTATAAGTGACCCATCCTTAGGGATTTCGTTCATTTTAACTGTATCATCCGCTAAGCACTATAGCCACCAGAAATGGACACCAGACCGGCTTGATCGAGTGATCTGGTTATAGACTATAAGAGCTATATATTTCTGATGAAAAGATTCCACTTCATGACTCGAAATTATGAAGGCTGAGCTTTCTCACTCGTGTGCTGATTTGCTTGTCTTCCATGAGAGAATCTAGGTTTGGCGACACCTCAATCTGTTAAGTACAATTCAATAGAAACTCAATTTCTAAATCGAAATAATTTTAAATTGTATTCCCTATACGTTTCAAGTTCATTTCAGAGCATTCCAGATGATGACTATAAGATATGTAAAGAATTAAATTATTTCTATTTACGGAGTTTCCATTGTATTGTACCAAAGCTGTTCACTAACAAGTTACGTTGTCTGACAGTCGGCAGAGTATCAGTTGCAATCAGGTTATGATGTCTGTTACGGGGGGGGGGGATTGGTTTCCAGACCACGGTCTTCGCTAACAACATAAACTGAGATAAGTACGGTATGTACAAACTTTCCACTATTAACCATTGTATTTGTTTAGGTGATTATGGTGGTCATGGCAACAGTTATCACGCAGATGGTGGGCGTGGAAACAAGAGAGCTCAAATGAGACATTGTTTACGTTTATTACGAAGTATGTGTTCAACTGAAGATGAAGCAGTACTTCAGGATTTATGTGATCAAGGAGCCATCAGTCAAATCACTGGTACGTGGCTAGGAGGTGTTGGTGGTACACTGAATAGGGGGGGGGGGACTAGATGGATGTTGGTAGAGGTGTGTTGGTACCATAATGACTTTTGGGGGATTTATTCTTACGGTGGTAAAGGGGTGGTGGTGCCACAGTGGCTAGGAGGTGTTGGCGGTACTGTGAATCA